CGTGAATATTGTAGCCACACTTCAAGAGGTGGAAAATACAGTCATCCGTGTCCTCAGTGGAAGAGAATTGGTCACCAGCATGAATGTTTTCCATGGTGTGGTTCAACCATTCATTCCATTTCTCCTTGTCTTGATCAGATCACCTTTGGAACATAAGATTGTTTCTTGGCTATACATTTTACCAAAGACCTGACAAGCTGCACTGTACACAGGAAGTAGTGGCCTTCACTAGGAAGGTGTAGGATCATGGAACCACTAATCAGAGTCTATGCAGTTTACCACACTGCTGCTGAACAGCCTTTCTGTGCTAGTGGGCATCGTGGCCCCTTCCACGTGTAGTCAGGTAAATAAATAAGTAACAAATGAAGAATAGGCAAAATTAACAATAGAATTTGATAGTCCAGTGAGGCAATCAGGCAGGTAATGGGATAATATTTGAAGTGTGAAAAATAATAATGAATGAAAGAAAGAAAGGGGATAAGGAAAAGTGACGTCAGAGATGGGGTTCAGAACTGGCCAAAGGGAACTGAAAATATAGAAATTTTCTAGAATGCTCACGGAGTTACTTTTTTCATTGTTTTCTGAGTCTTTCTTTGCCCTTTACTTTGCTTGTAAGAAGTCAATCAGCCCCATGGCTGCAGTGACCAAAAAAAGATCGTGTGAGTAGGAGTTATAAAGAGGCCTTGTAGCTCTGATTCTGGATTCAGCTGCCTTACATAGTGATAACGTTCCTGCTGTTGAAAACTTTCAATGGGGAGAGACTAGTCGCATTTAGAGGTGTATATATATTTCTATAATCCTCATCAGATAGTGAGTGAACTTTGTAGGCATTTTCATACTCTGAAATGCTAAAATAGGTCCTGTTACAAAAATTTGAGTCTACTTCCTTATGATCAGAGGCATGTGGCCAGGCTTTGGAGCATGTCCAGATAAGAACGGGCATCTGAAAAGGACTTCCTGCCCTGAAGGCACTCCGTGAGGGACGCCCAGCTCAGCTACTTGTGGAAGTGTGTTGCTTTTCTCAGCTTTAAAATAGCTTTAGTGTTTCTTCTAGTGGGTGGAATGGCAGAATTTCAGAAAAGACCCTGGTGGAAGTCTTTGATGAACACTTTTTTGGCTAACCAAGTTTAAGAGCTTACCAATGGAACTGCATCTGGATTGTGACAGTAGGGCCACATTGCCAAGGTTCATAGTCTCTCCTACCAGTGTGAAAGAGCTTCCAGTCTACATAGCTTAGACAGTCCATGGGGAGGAGCTTTCTGGGTGGAATCAAGAAGAGGCGCTTCCTCTCTATTGTGGGTACATTCTCTTGATCTTCAGATGCCCTCTGTCCTCAGCTTATTGACTATTCACATAAATAAGTCTCTCTATGCTCATGAGCAAACCTTCTGTCAAGGACCATATTAAAATGCTAAAGAGTAAGGATACCTGTTTAAAGACTAAGGTGTGCCAAATCCAAGCCTTGGTATTTTTTGGTTGCTTCCTCTACAGCTAAAGTTGGACAATGAATAAAGAACACTGAAGAACAATTGATGCCTTTGATTGGTGGCACTGGCAAAGAGTATTGACTATACCGTAGATGGACTGCCAAAGAATAGACCAATCTGCCTTGGAGGAAGGAGAGCCAGGGTGTTTCTTCCAGCAATCATAGTGACACTTTATCTAACATACTATGGTCATGTTGTCAGTAGGGACCATTCTATAAAAAAAAAAAAAAAACATCATGCAAGGAAAGGTAGAGAGTCAACAAAAGAGAGGAAGAACTTTAGCAAGATGAATTGGCATAGTGAGGGTAACAATGGGCTCTAGATCATGAGGATAGAGCAGGATAGGGAAAGGTTTTGATCTGTTATTCATAGGGTAACAGTGAGTTGTAGTTGACTGGGCAGCGCCTATGAACAACAACATACTTGTAGCATTTGATGGTTAAACTCAGGCTGTTCATTTTATTCTGTTGCTGAGAATATAATTTACAACCTTAAGACTGTCAGAATTAGGGATGATGGGACTTTAGGCTCAAAAAGATTAGAGCTAGTTTCCAGCCTGAAGTCCTAGGTCTCTGTTTTTGTTAGGTCCTGTGCAGTCGACTCCAACCCATACAGTGGACTCTATGAGTAACACACGTGCCATCCTCATCATCTCTGACACACTTGAGCTCAGTGCTGCAGTCACAGTTCTCTTGCAATCTGGAAAGATAGAAATGTCAGAAATTCTATGTGAACTGTAAAAAAAGGAAGGGAAGGCAAGTTCAGTGAAAATATTTAACAGTGACAAGATTAAGTAAGACAAATAATATATAAACTTTTTTTTTGCCTTGGACTCATGTATTATCTGATTCTAGAAAACAACATGCCTCTGGAAACTCTATGAACTTTGATAAATGACGATACTTATAGAAAAGCTTCAGGCCTTTTTTTCATTGGTGGTTATGAGTCGTGCTCGACTCGATGACAATCAACAACAACAACAACAACAGTTATTACTTACTTATTAGAAGTTCTTGTTATTATCACTTAGATAATAGACCTTTGATGATTTTAAAAATAGACAACTTTGTATGCTTACATTCATAGCAGCAATAATAAAAATAGCTAGAAAGTGGGAGCAGCTAAAATAACCATCAACAGATGAATAGATTGAAAGATTGTGGTACATTCACACCATGGAATACTATGCAGCACTAAGGAACAACAGTTTTGTAAAATACTGTGTAATTTGGGAGAGACAAAAGAGCACTTTGATGAGTAAAATATCTCAGTCTTATAGGACAAATATTGCATAAGACTACTATTGTGAAAATGGGATAACTAAGATATGTATAAATGTTCAGAAGAGACAGGAGAGAAGGAGGCAGAAAAAGGGGAAGAGGTAGGATCACTGGGATAGCAGAGGTTACTGGGTAGAAAAGAGTAGAGTTTAATAGGGGTTTGAAAAGACAGGCTGATAATAGGCACAGAGCAATGATAATGATATAAAATACAAAGTATATGAATGTGTAAAACACAAAGCACATGTACAAACCCTAGTATATATGAATGAGCCTATCCAAACCTGTTTTAAAAATGGACATTTATCCCTTAAAATATTCAACTTTTAGCTCTTGAGTGGCTATCGAGGGGCACTTTTTATTTCTTTCCATTCAAAGCAGAGAAGAGTGAAGATAATAAATAAAACACACATGGGAACATTTTGGCTACTGATAGTGGACCACATGATCCTAAGACTAAAAGAACCAGGTGGTGCCCAGGTACCCCTACCCACACTACTCTGAAAAGGAGCAAGATAAAGGGAAAAAAATTGGAACAAAATGCAAAATTATTTCAAAACAACAACAAAGAGCAATTGGCTTGCTGGTTGAATAGAAACTGATGGAACAAAGAGTGGCTTTAAGTCACTGCAGACCTAGACTCACGTTCACACTAGTGACTCAACTTTCTAATAATAGGTAAGATGAACAATAACATCAGGAATTAAGTGCACCTTAGAAAAACTAGTTATACAAGCTCAAAAGGCAGTATTTGCCCAGTTAACAAGTTCAAAAGACACTGGTTAGAGAAGAAGACTGAAAGGAAACAGGGAGAAAGTGAGAAAAGTGCTGTTACATGCTGAATGGAAAACTTGATTTGCCCTATAAACTTTCACCAAATCACAATAAAATGTTTATAGGTCTTATTAGGCTAAGTCTGTGCCACACAAAACCTTGGGAAAGTATGATAAAAAGCTATAAATAGTGTGAGTAGTGCTACAATGAGCATGGACATATTAATCTGAGTCTCTGATTTCAAGGCTTTTGGGCATATACCTAGCAGTTGAATTGCTGGTCCATACTGTTTGCCACGATCACTGTCTCATTTTGCATTTCTACCAGAAGTGGTTAAGGTTTCAGATTTCCCCACATCATCACCAATCTTTTCTGGTAGGGTTTTTTGGTTGGTGGTGTTGATTTTTGGTTTTGGGTTTTGGTGGTGTGTGTGTGTGTGTGTGTGTGTGTGTGTGTTTAATCATAGCAATTCTAAGAAGAGTGAAATGAGATCTCACTGTATTTTAGATGTGCATCACTCTGACGTCTAATGATACTTAGTATTTTTCTCCCACATGTCTGGTGACCACTTGGACATTCTTTTTGGTTAAATTATTCAGGCAGTAGGAAAAAAATAGTCTTGATGTTTTCAACAGGGTCCCAGTTGGACTCAGAGTCCAACTGCCCCATTCCCTGGTTTGCTTAGAAAAGTCACATGGATGAACATTTTCTTTTGCAGTTAGTGAATAGGGGACGGAGGCTAGTGCTTTGGAAAAATACAACCTAAAAAAGCAAACTTTTAAGGGAATATTTATAGATTAGGTTAAGGGTGTAGGAAAGATCTCATGTTTATATATATTTTTAGAGGAAAATGCTCATTTTCTTAGAAATGGAGACATTATCAAAAACAGGAGGTACTTACTCCTGATCTTCAAGTTGGAGTCGGCCTTGTTAAGCCCTCCACAGCTTGGACATCATCTCTCAAAGTTCACATGGAAATTACTCTTTTTGTTTTGCACATGCATGACACTTGAAAGCTCATGCAGATAACAGAACCAGAAATTTATTAAATGTTGTCAGCAAGAAACCTCAGCAGCTACCTATATTAGCTGAATCGGATAGTAATGTGAAGAGAGAGTGCATTGTGCTTTGTCCGCTATTTAAATGCCTAGCTCTAAACCTTCTTCTTTAAGATATTGACCCTCTTGTCAAGAGTAAGCCATACAAGCAGGAAGCTTAGAATCTAAAAACTACATCTGTGTTTTTGTGTTTTTGTTTTTTTGAGAGCTCAGAGCTGGTTGTTTTTAATTCTTTGGGAGATAGGAGAAATTATAACAGAATACTACAGAAAAATATGGACTATAACAGAAAACTTACAGATTCAACTTTAACTGAAAACAGAGGTTTTCCTTTCTCTCAATTAGCATTTTAATTGTACAACTGAAGCGCCATTGGCACTCTGTCTACTGCCCTCTCGGCTCTACTTCACAGCATATCCGAAGATGTGCGGCCGCACCAGCTCCCAGGTCAGCGGGGCGTGTATGTGTTGCAGCTTCAGCTTAGAAAAGTTGGCCCGCTCCAGCGGCTTCCAGCTTTCCCTGGTCAGACTGCACCCATCAAACAGAAGGAACCAGACAGGATTCAGGACCTGTTGCCAGAAGTAGTTCCAGGTCGAAGGCTTGGCTGCCACATGTTCCATGAAATAAAAAGCTCCTCCCGGCCTCAGCACTCGGTATACCTCCCGGAGGATCTTCTCCTGGTTCTGCACCGAGCACAGCACCAAGGTGCAGACCACCACGTCCACGGAGTTGTCGGCCACCTGGTGCATGTTCTCCCCGGCAGCCACCACGAAGCGCTCGAACTGCAGGTGCCGGTTCTCCGCGATGCTCTTGATCAAGAACTTCTCAAAGTTGGGGTTGGGGTCAATACAGGTCACCCTGCATCCATGTGGGTAAAACTTGAAATTGGCCCCGGTGCCACAGCCCACCTCCA